CCATGGCTGAATTCGCCCTTGTGGAAGGCGTAGAACCACCTGAGTCTGAAGCTTGGCTGAAGCGACGTGTTGAGACGGGGATACGCGACTGTGAGCTTGACTTGGGGCGGGTTCCGATGGTAACGGCCGGCTGTAGGCCGGCTTGATTGATGGCGATACCCATGCTTCGGTCTGATATCTCAGGGTTAGTGGTGGGAGTGGTGGTGGAAGGTTTTGTGACCAAGTCGCTTCGAGATCTGCGATGAGTAACGGGGTGTTTTGTAGTATTCAATATGTCAAAAGGTGAAGCGTATCCAAGATACCAGGCAGTGGGTGATGTTGGAGAGATTCCACTATCGAGTTCTATAGGCAAGTCAACGAACATCGGATTAGGCATATGCATGTCACCATCAGACCCTCTGCGCCAGCGAGGCGATGCGGCATCAGTGGCATGAACCGGAGGCCGAGTGTGGGTTGGGATGATTTCTCCAAACAAAAGTCGCCTACTTGGAGGTGATCCAAACGAATCCGATGCGCTCTCTTTTACATTTAATGAAGACTGGCTGTGCCGCCCAGGATGTCGAGGTCGAGGAGGGGATCGGAAATCTGCCAGGTCACAGCTCCCTTTCTGGAACTGTTGTTGCGTACTACAGGCACGAGAATGGGCAACTCCGCGACGACTAGGGCTGCCGTCTCTAGAAGATGTACGAGAATCTGGTGGTCTAGGGGGAACCTGGTCGAAATTTTGGTTGAACTTATCCACTAGCTCCTTCAACGACGATTGCCTTTGTTGGTTTCCCGTCGCAGAAGAGTTGACTGAACTTGGGCGTGTGGTATTAAAAACGGCGGTTTGCGGGAAATTAGAAGATGTTGGGTGGTATGGACGAGAACGAGAGGGGAAGCGAGCGCGGTGAGATGTTGGAGAGTGGTTGTGATAATCGCCAGTGGAGATGTTCGATTTTCTTGCATATGAGGTGGAAGTCATATTACCATCGAAGGCAGAATGACCATCACCACCGAAGTCATTATACTGCAGGTAGAATTCGCGGGGGTCGGGAGAAGCCTCATCGCTCGTCGGGGGGTGATGCCGTCTGAAATTTAGACCTGTAAAGTTTGTGGTGATTGACAACTGTCGAGGAGATGTAGGTGGACCAGGGGCTTTGTAGGTAGTCACGGGAAGTAGCGGTAGACGGGCAGACAAGGGTGACGAAGGGTTGGGAGATTCGTTATTGCCAAACTCCCCACCAGAAGTGTCCGCCTCAAGAGAGTTAACCAAAGGGAATTGCGGATTCGGGCCTGAATGGCGAAAGGAATGAAGATGATGATTCAAGGGATCATAATTGTGTTCCACCTCATTAGTCGTAGGCATCTTGCGCGTGGCCTCTGAGCACTACCAATAATAAAAAGTAATTTTAAAATTTCTCTTAAAAGAAGCGATAAAAATAAAGCGAGAGAACTAAAAGAGTAATCAACTTTCCGTTAGGCCCAAGTCGAGGTCAGTGACCTAGTCAGTAAGCGGTGCAGGACGAGGAGGAAACACACGATGGACTTGTG